CAGATACTGTGGAGGGACTGAGGCAGTGTGACCCTTCAGATGCCCGAAGGGCTGAGTATAGATAGGAGGCTGGGGTGGTTAAGGAGGAAGGGAGGGACGCGAGCTGAACAGCGGCAGGCTGTGGAAGAGAGGGGGATCGAGACAGAGCTTCTGAATCACTTTGGGGGGAATGTAGAGGAGAATGGGGTGGCAGTGCTTGTGTGTGTTTCTCCATCTGTCTCCCAGCTGCAAGATACAGGTCCACACATTCACCTGTTGAACTGCAGAAACACACAAACAGAGTAATATTAATGCATTGTGCATATGTACACACATTCAAACATGTCCTATAAAATGCTTTTTTTTTAAGCAACCACACAGAGAAGCCGTTTTCACAGATAAACAAACAAATAGTTAAGTTATTAAACCCAGGAAGGAGGCCATAAAAGTCAGTGCCCTGCCATAGAAATATCATTTCTTTTTTCAATATTGACTGCACAACCGAGTAAATGATTGAGCGAGGTAGTCAACCGAGAAATAACACACCATTCAAGTGGCGCTAAACATAGAGAATAAAAAAAAAAACAGACACAGAAAGCCAAGCCACATGGTCTATACACCTTAGAAAATGGCGCAAGAATATTAAGTTACGTTTAGAATAATTGCCCAAGCATTCATGCTCGCGTGAAGCCTTCATGTCAAGACAAAAGAGCGAAAAACTCACCTAAATAAGTATAGGGATGAATTTATAGCACCCAATTTCCCATTCTGTTCTCATATAAGTTTTAAGTTTCTGTTCAAATATCTGTAAAAGAAGCTATGTCTCGCACTGCCCCGTCCTGTCTGCGGTCTGTCCTTTCCCACGTTTCCTTGGAAACCAGAAGGACGCTTTGCAGCCGGCGCGTCTCCTGCGACCCCTCCTTAAAGAGACACTCGGCGAGGGCTGGATGAAATTTTATTTTGTGGAAAAGCATCTTATGTTTATCTTTTGTACACGCATGCAGGGTTTTGCCCGTGTTTACAGCAGCTAAACTCAAACGTCACATCACACGTCGTATTGTTTGTAGGCTATAACATATCAGATACTTTAATTGACAAGATGAAAACAATTCTACACACCTTAAAAGTCTAATTTATGGGATTTATTTCGCTATAAAGAAAACAGCTGTTCATGCACAGAAGAAAGAAGGACACTTGAGTTGATCATGTGTTCACCAATTGCACATCACACAAGAATCACAACACAGTGCAGATAAATCAGCATGCCTCTTAAAATGAAGTCTGGATTTTGTGACACTAAAGCAGCATGGCGAAGACACAAGAGCAGTCAAACTGTTATTTTCCCATTTTCAACAACAGAAAAACACAATCCTGTAAAAATGTTAAATTATATTTTCAACAACTGATCTGCAGATGCCATTGCTGACGGAGCCAATGTTGAAGATCAGACCACATAAATCCGTTGTGGATAAAAACACAATCAAGGTAAGCCACTTTTCTGTAACAATGCTAAAAAATGAAACCATCCCAGTCCAGCATTGTCATTTGAAAGTTCCTTCATAGTTTAAATACTGTAGGTCATCTGACCAAATGAGCAGTGAGCCAGTAAATGATGATTGGCTGAAAGGCAGCTGATGCCAGGGTTATGTACAAGCGAAATTGGGGCTTGGCACTCGCTCCTGCACCCATGGAGTCTGCTGAGAACGAAGACAGGATCTTCATTTTTAGAGAACGAACCTGAAAACAAAAACAAAGTAAGAAATTAATTGGAGAAATGTGTTGAAAAAACGTAAATGTGTAAGCACCATATGTACATACATTCCTAAACAAAACTCACAATAAAAAACATGAGGGCACAAGAAGACCAAGCAAGAGCAACGAAGTAACCATCACTGCCAAAGAGCAGTCCACACAACACAGTGAAAATCATCCTAAAAAACAAAGGAAAAAAAGGCATCTTTAATGCAATATAAAAACACATGATCCACTTACAAATGTGGCTCTTACACAGGCGTGTAAAATACATTATAACATCCAATCGAAACATACCCCACATATTTGTATCCACTGTAAGCAACAAGGTCAAACATTGAGAGGTCTGTGTGAACTGTGAGCAAGTAAAGACTGAACAACATGACAAGAACTTCAATGATGATCCAAACCAGAGCCGTGCTTGCACACAAACCCAGAACCTCTGGACTGAACCTGAACATGTAGAGAAAACGTAAAAATTATTAATTATATACATGTCTCATTTACAACATTGTCAAAAAAATTACTTGAATGTGGCAGTGCCGAAGGTACCGTTATGAATCCCATTTAGTAGGGTCACATCAGGGTTATTGAACAAATTTAGGCTAGTTAACTAATAGATTATTTTACTAAATGTTTTTTATATGAATCCTTTAGGATGTCCAAGCACGTCCATAAAGTGGAAACGTCAGTGTGTTTCTCCCATAAAAACCACTATTGCTCACCGTTTCTGGATTCCTAAAGCCATTCCAGCCAGTAAAATGTAGGTGATAAAAGCCATTGCTAGACGAAAA